GGGCGCGCAGCCGGCTAGGGTTTCCCCAAGGACCTGAAAGAGCAGGGAAGCCAGGGGCAGATCGCACCGAGGGGACACGGTAGGTAGCCAAGGCTGAGGCGGGGGTGCGGGGTCTGCGGGGGTGTGCTGGCTCGTGGCGTCCCTCTCGCCAGGCGCTGCCCACGCTGGTGCGTGCCTGGGCCCTGAATCACCCGCTATATCGGGCGGGCAGCGCCTGAGGCCCCAAACCCGGGCCGCGCCGCCAGTGTCCGTTTACAGCGGGTCCCAAATGCCGCCAAGGACCTCCGGCTTTTCCCCAGACTTCCTCAGAGTAGAAAGACTTTGGACAGAGCCAACTTAGGAGCGGTCTGCAGGGGACCGTGTCCCCCGAGTCCAGCCCCCCTAACTCGGTTCCACTACGTGTTTGCCACCGTAGGGAGGGGGCTTGGGTGGGGAAGCGCGGGGTACAGAGCGCGCGCCCCAATGCACGCTCCAGGAATCCGCTGCTCACCTCGCCCCACCCCACCCCAGCAGCACTCCCCGAAGGAAGGTGGGTGCCCCGGGCTGGGGCAGGCTGGCGGGAGAGCCGCGCTGCTCCTGGGGCAGGTTCCCCCACCCCAAGCCTGGGGCCTGAGACTGCGGGCCGGGCAGGGAGCTCCGGACGAGGTCCGCTCCGCCAGCTCACCTGGTAGATCATAACTTTAAAGTTGCGGCGCCGCAGCAGCTCGGCCTCGTTGACCTCCAGCTTCTTGATCTGGCCGGCCTGGCGCTCCAGGCTGCCGCGCACGGTCTTCACGTTGACGCTGACCTTGCGCACCTTCTCCAGCAGCTTGCTCACGGTGTTGCTGGTGGTGGCGTGCGCCTTGCCCAGCTTGCTCAGCTCCCCCTGGATGCTCTGCACGGCGCCCTCCATCTCCGCCTGCCGCTCCTCCAGCTGGGCTTGGGTCAGCTGGATCTGGTCGACGGCGCCGATGATTTTGTCCAGAAGGCTCAGTACCAACACGCCGTTCACCTGGTCCGATTTGATCAGCTCCTCGGAGCCGGCCCCCGACGGCTCCTCCGCCGCCGGCGCCCGCATGAGGGAGGACCCCGGGTCCTCGGCGTCAGGGTACCCGGAAAGCGGCTGCTCGACGATATGGAGCTGGGTGTCCTCCATGGCTACCCGGAGCCGTTGCGGGGCCCGCCGGGTGCAGCTGAAGCTGGAGCGGGAGACCGGGAGAGGAGGAAGAGCGGGAGGGGGGAGAACCAGAGCGCTCGGAGAGCGGAGGAAACTCGAGCCACGTCCGTGCGCCCCGGGACCGCGGCCAGAACTGTGGGGCGGGGGATCTTTGAGCTCCCCAGCTCCCAAGCCAAACCCGGAGTCTCGTCGCCCATTGGCTGGCCCCGTCCCAGAAAAGGAGGGACCTGGGCAAAAGGGAAGACCGATGATGGGGGCGCGGGGGGGGGGACAACCGAGGGGGGACCCAGGAGCCTAGCGCCCCACCCTTCCCCAGGATGGTTGGAATAGTTGGAGCGGGAGGCTAGGGCCTCGGCTGGCAGCGGAGGCGGTGAGAGCGGGACCGCGGCGGAGGAATGTTAGCTGAGAGGAAACAGGTCCTAGAGTGTTGCTCTCCTTTTCCCTCTCCGCTCACCTGCAAACCTGCCTCAGCCTTTTAAGTTCTAGAGCGGGAAGTCAGGTAGAACACGAGATCCTGAACTTATATGCGAAACATTGTATTATATTGGCCTGTGCCCAGTTTTTGAAAGGGAAGGATCCACAATCTTTTCCAAGGGGCCTCTAACCACCCCAGTCCTAGCGCTGAGCAATCAGAGATCATCAGTCTCCACCTTCTCGTTTGACATGGGGGACAGGAGGACCTGGGGAAGGCAAGTGACCTGCCAGAGGTTACCTGCAAGGTAGCATTGGCTTGGCGCTCACACACTTTCTACCTTAGCACTGTACCTTGCATTAGGACAGGGTGGGCACCCGTGGCCACCCACATGTGCTGGTTTTGAGCCTTTTGGCCTGAAGTTTAACTACAGACATATTTTCAACCATAATGGGTACCAAGGAGCAGGACCAAGGAGGGCCCTTTGCTCAGGAGTCCAGGGAAAGAGAGGCAGCCCATGCCACCCCATTTTGCTCTCTAGCACAGCCCTGGAGCTGTGAGTTTGCTGGAGCAGCACTATCTCCCTTTCCCCCAGAAAAGCTTCAAACCTTTTCCCTAGTTAAGAAACCAAGCTTGGGTTTCCCCAGCTGGATAGATGATGGTCTTGGCAAAAGATCTATTCTAGTCTGGCATTCATTATCTTTAGGAACAGTGAAAAACTGCTTGGTGGAAACCCGAGGCTCCATCGATCCAGTTGGAGAATCCACCAAGCCAGGAAGGAGCTGGAGAGCTCGCTGTCTGGGATAGTCTGGGATAGTCCCAATGACTATTGGAAAAAATAGTTCCCCTGGCACTTCAATAGCTGTTTTCTCAGAAACAAATAGCTTTCTTGTTTGAGTTTCAAGTAGGATGAACTGGTATATAAAATCATAACTGGTATATAAAATCATATATAACATATAAATATCTGCTAGACCTGACAGATTACCCATCTTACCAATTTATTTTAGAGTTTAAAAGAAAATGTATTTGGACAGTTTAAGTTGCTTCCATTGAGGATTGATAAGACTTCTAGAAAAAAAGAAGAATGACAGTAGAGAATCTTACGGGACCTTCATAAGGTTCTTACTTTTTTAATTGGTTAGATTTATTTTCACCAGTGACACACAAGATACAAGTTGTGACTAGCACACACACACAAATATATATATATAGTGAAAAGAAGTTTTCTTTCTACTCCTGACTGCAGCAACTAATTTCTTTCCCAGGAGACAACTGTTACTATTTTCTTGTGGAGTCTTCTATAGAAAGTCTCTGAATATATGATCAAATATATATATTGCTCATCAATTTTCTTTTTTTCTGTTACTAAAATATCTTGGAGATTGTTCCATATCAGTACATGTAGAGCTGTCTTGTTTTCCAAAGTATAGATGCCCTATACTTATTTAACCAGTTCTCTATCAGTGGACATTTACAAATTACAATTTAAACCTCACTTGGAGGGGGTGCCGAAGAGGAATTTTAGTGGTTGACTTGATTTTTGTGGTTGCATGCTTGCTAAAAGGAATTAAGTCCATGCCATTTTGACTTTCCCATCAGGAAAATATTTCTACTCTTCAAAAAGGAATGACATATTTGAGATGAGTCAAATTATGTTCCAGTGATAGTCTAGTAAATACATGACTCATTTGGTGCCTCGTTAACAGAGAACTTTGCAGAAAAGGCCCTACCCCTACATACCTATGTCCAAGAAAAGATCTGCATCAACAAGTTTCTCTCCTGTTCCTCTTCTTACTAAAATGCCAGCTAAATCCAACAGGGGGCGTGCTAAGCCTTGGCGAACTAGCTTTATCAACAAGGACTCCCAAAACTGGAGCGAAACAATCCTTCGAGTCCTTCATTTCAGCCAAACTAAGCAGTTTCCCTTCGTTTGGAACTGCATTCAGCATGCCATCGCTTGCATTCAGGGTTGAAGCTTTGCGTTTTCCATTGCTCACCCTATTTGCTGAAAGACACACTGTTTCATTGTGTGCTTTCAGCTGCTGAGGCAGTCTGCAAAAGGGATAGAGAGGTGGAAACAAACAACCCTTTGGCCCAGAAAAAGAACACCAGGATGCAACCTTGTCAGCAGCTGGAATCTCATAGCACCCTATCAGATTCCCCCATCCGCCCATGTGTTCAACAAAGTGTGACTACTTACCTCCAGCCAGCTACTGGGCTGGGGACTTCAAGGATGAATTAAGCTCAGTCCTTCCTATTGAGAAATTCCCAGCGTAGCAGGAGAGACAGATGCATAAACAGTTTCCCATACAAAGTGGGGGTCAGGGAAGATTGCCACTACTTTCTGGAAGAGTGGGGAACGGTTCACGGGGGTCTCTAGGTAAAAAGGAGGAGGGAGGGAGGGAGGAAATGTGAAAGTGCAGGGCTGAGGGGTGGGTAGCCAGGCACTGCTCGTCTCTTACAGTGGTTCTGCCTTAAGTCTTGTCAGTTTATATTTTGAAGATTCAGCAAGGTGTGAGGGGCTGCAGTGTGTAACATGTTCCATTCAGTTTTGGATCCGAGCTGGGAGAGATCCTAGGGAGACAGTGTGTTTTGTTAATAATAAACGTTTGGGAAACAAACCATCCGGCCTCGGAAAACCAGTCCTCGGCAGCTGGCTCACAGTTGCCACAGGTTTTTCGCTCCAGATTTATAGGCACTATTCTTGTCCCTCTGACATATATGGAAAGTGCCTACAATGTTTGTATATTTCTCTTCCTGAAAAATTCCTTCCTTTCTCCCTCAAGCATTAATATATAGGGTAGGTTTCCTGAACCAGAAAACAATAAAACATTTTTATTAAGTGCTAATTTATGCATCATTTGGTGCTAGAAACCATTCACAAGACACAACCGGTTTGCTATGGGGTGAGTGTTAGTTTCAAATCTCAAGGAAGCAGTGATTCAGGCTAACACACAGAAAACATCAAGAAAATACATTAATGAAAGTACCATAAAGCTTCCCCTCCTCCTTCACCTTCAACACACACTGACTGGCCTTTTATCCTACAAATAAAAAACAAACACAAACAAAAACTGCAGCCTTAATTGGCTTTACCTTCCTGTCTCCTCAAGGTTGGGCCCATCTGTTTTCTCCGGTTCAAATGCCATTGTTTTGTAGAACTGCTGCTACGGATCTCTAACCCCCAATTCAGTCCTTAAACGCCTGCAGTTTATGCAAAAAGTTGGCTTTCTCTCTACCAAAAGAGCATTTAAAAGTCACTAATAGACTCCATATTCTACCAATTAGCTCTCCTTTTCTTATTTTATTTGAACCCTGCAGGATCTAGCTCTGCTGTCCTCGAGGTTTTCCCTTGTAGCCTTTATGTGAGGCTGTATTATTTTTATTTATTTCTTGTCCCATTGACTAACTTATTTTTTTCTTCCTTTGGTTTTCTAAAAACAGCTTTTAAAACTGCTCAAAAAAATTGTTAAACCCCAGTCTTATTGAGATATAATTTATATAATACACAATTCATGGCTCTACCTCCAAATTGGTGTGTGATTTCAAGTGAATGGCTTTACTTCTCTTAGTTTTCACCTCTCTCTTAGTTCTTAGTTTTTTCATCTGTAAATGAAAAAACAGTAGATGATTTAAAAAAAAAAAAATGTATTGATTTCAGAGAGAGGAAGGGAGAGGGAGAGAGAGAGAAAAACATCGATGATGAGAGTCACTGATCGGCTGCCTCCTGCACGCCCCCTACTGGGGATGGAGCCCGCAACCCGGGCATGTGCCCTGACTGGGAATCCAACCAGGATCTCCTGGATCAACCGCTGAGCCACGCCAGTAGGGCAGGGGTAAATGATTTCTAAGGTTCCTTCCAGTTCTGACATTCAGTGAGTCTATGAAACTAATTTTTGATACTTTAAAAAAAGTCCTTTGAGACCTTATAGTACTTCAGAAAAATCCTTTTTAACATCATTCATTCAAACAAACATTTAACAAGGGTTTATCAAGTGCCAGTCTCAGTACCAGGAGATGGGGACCCAAAGATGGAAAGACATGGTCCTTGCTATCAGTAACTTAGAGTCTAATATGAGAGCTAGACATATCCCTCAACAACTACAATTTAATGGGATAACAATCATAAACGGCATCATATATAATGAGCAATGATAGCACAGGGGAAAGAGTGCTTCAGGAGACATTTCAGAGGAGCTGAGCTGTGGCATTTGCCAAACGAAACGGTAGCTGGGGTTTGGGATTCTAAGCAGAGGAAAGATCTTGGTAAAGGCATGAGGATGCCTGAGCCCACATGGCTATTTGCCACGGCAAATATCTTATAGAGGCTAAAATATAAGATGTTTGGAGGCAGAGAGGCTAAAGGTGAGGCTGGGCAGCAAAAAGTTGCCTAATTACAGTGCATCATGGAAGTCATGCTAAGAGGTCTGGACTGTATTTAAAAGGTTTATAAGGCACTACTTAAGCATTGTAGCCAAAAGAGAAAGAGGAACTGATCTGAATTTTACAAAGAAAATTGATTTGAGGGAATGTAAATAATAGTTTGGGAGGGGCTGAGACTAGAATCAGGGAGCTCTATTAGGAGCTACTGCAATAGTCCCAGCAAGAGAAGATGACCATCTGAATTAAAGCAGTATAATGTATATAGAAGGAAGAGATCTGGTGGGAGAGCTCTACAGGAGGGGATGTCGATAAGGCTTGGCAATTGATAACATGTAGAGAATGAGGGAGAAGGAGAAGTCTCAAATATTACAATTTTCATTATATAATAATACAGATATAGAAACCATGGAAGATTGGATTAAATATGTACTAATTCTATGCTATTCCCTGGATGATGCTTTTCAAAACGAACATTCCTGATGTTAGTTCATTCATTTATAATTCTTTCTTTATATAGGTAGAAAAGTGTGCATAGAAAACCAATGCTAATTTACTTTTCAGTTAATATACATCAAATATGTTTAAATTCATGAGTTCATAATGATGCTAAACAAACAAAA